GATCAGGACAAGTACATTTCCCTCTTTTATGGAGCAGTCACTCCGGTTCTAAACCCTCTGATCTACAGCCTGAGAAACAAGGATGTGAAGGAGGCCCTGAAGAAGTTGGCAGGAATGAAAATGAATTGCTGAGAGCTTCTGAGAGCTTTGATTCCTTTCTCCCATGTGTGCTTCAGAGCCTTCTTCATGTGCCTCCTGACTTAACAACGTAGAGACGCTCAGGATAGAGAGGGGTAGAGGAACCTGATTCCTGACCTAAACGACATTGGATGCTGAAGGAAGGATTCCAGTTTCCCAGACTGAGGCAGACTTTATTTGTTAAAGTTTCACCTCGCATCTCTTTCTGTAGTAAATTATAAGTGAGTAGAATAAAGGAAGATGGGAATAAAAAGTCAAAATATTTTTTTTTCTCAGAACAGGAGATCCTTTGGTACAGAAGTGTCAAAATGTTATGTCTGACATTAACCTGTCTTCCCCTGCGCACTACTGTTAATCATGGGGAAATACTTCTCTGTGGACTAAGATATATTTCCCCAAGGTGCATGCTAGTCACATGTTGTGATGGGTTCAGTCACAGAGACCCTGTAGCAAGGCCGAAGACTCACCGGCGCGGCGCCTCCTGCTGGTCGTCTGGGAATTAGCTCTTTTCCAGTCTCAGAGCGCCCTCTGCTGGCCGGTGTCTCGCCTACCTCAGGCCCTGTGTCCCTCCCAGACCCCGGTGCCCTTTATCTCGGGGTTCTGCCCCAGAAGTCCCCACACTCTGGGTCTTCCCTCCCAGGGAAATCCTCCAACCCTCTACACCCACTTTGCTTCAGTGGCTACTGCCAGTTGTCATCTAGCCCCCATTCACTAGGGCAGACTGCAGTCTGTAAGGGCCACTTATCACTGGCAAGGGGGTTGGACCAGCTGCCTAGCCCTGGGCTACACGTCTGCTGCCCCAGTACCTCTTTAGGCCCCCAACAAGGCCTGCAGGGGAGTTGCCAGGCTGGAGCTCCCCAGCTCCTCTTGCCCTTCCCCAGCCCGGCTCTGCTCCAGGTACTCTGTGCTCCCAGGCAGCTAGGCCCTTCTGACTCCAAAGCTAGAGTGAGACTTCTTCAGCTCCTGGCCCCCCCCAGCCCTCTTATCAGAGCCAGCTGGGCCCTAATTGAGCTGGCCACAGCTGTGGTCAGTTACTCCCTCAGCTGCTCTCACTCCTTGTCCCAGCCGCAGCCCTCTCCAGGGCTGCTTTTAACCCCTGTTCTGCTGGAGTGGGGCAGCTGCCCCACTACAGACACCTTTGGGACTGTCACCTGATGTGCTGAGATTACCTCTGAGCCCATTTTTTCTGCCAGTTTGGGCCTCCAGAACCCTGCCTTGTTGCGCCAGACAAGCTAGCCTGCTGCAACACAGACCCAGGGTCCGAGCCACGCCCCCAAAGCTGCAGACTTAACTGAAAACAGCTCAGCGGGTCCCCTATCTCCAGCACCCAGACACCCAGCTCCCAATGGGATCCAAACTCCACATAAATCCATTTTACTATGTATAAAGCTTATATAGGGTACACTTATAAATTGTCCTCCCTCTATAACACTGATAGAGAGATATGCACAGCTGTTTGCTCCCCCAGGTATTAATCACTTACTCTGGACAATTAATAAACAAAAGTGATTTTATTAAGTGATTTTATTAAAAAGTAGGATTTAAGTGGTTTTAAGTAGTAACAGACAGAACAAAGTAAGTTACCAAGCAAAATAAAACAAAGCAAGTCTAAGCCTAATACATTTAAGAAACTGAATACAGGTAATATCTCACCCTCAGAGATGTTCCAATAAGCTTCTTTCACAGACTAGACTTCTTCCTAGTCTGGGCCCAATCCTTTCCGCTGGTACAGTCCTTGATGGTTCCAGCTCAGGTGGCAACTAGGGGACTTCTCATGACTGGCAGCCCCTTTTGTTCTGTTCCACCCCCTTTTATATCTTTGGCACTAGGTGGGAATTCTTTGTCTCCCTCTGGGTTCCCACCCCTCCCTCTAAATGGAAAAGCACCAAGTTAAAGATGGATTCCAGTATCATGTGACATGTAAGTCTTCATTACCCACTGGCTGGCACCCATGTATACAGGAAGGTTTGCAAGTAAACAGAGCCATTTACAAGTCATTGATTCTGAAGCACCCTTAATGGCTTCCACTTAATATGTTTACATTGTTGAGATGAGTTCCTGTCTGCATCCTGTAAAACTTGCCCATACCGGTATTGCCCTGGCCTCTTCTTTTGTCATTCAGTGTTGCACACATTCTAAAGCAATATGCATTTCCTCACCTTTTGGGGGCGAAGCCAGACTTTGAGGCACCTGCTCCCCTACTTGGTGTAAACTTTGCTTGTGCCAATCAGAAACGAACACAAACAGGTTTTGGGCCCCGTCCCCTGTGACACTTCTATGATGTCATAGTTGGTACTTTATGGGCTGCCTGCCATGTGCAGGCAGGGAGAGGAGAAAGAAAAACGAATCCTGTGTATCCTGTGTACACCCGTAACCGAGCCTGATCACCTCGAAGTCTCTCTCTCAGCTCACGTGTTTCAAACAGAGTTTCTACGTTTGCCGGTCGTTATGCATTGGTTTGTATTTGTAAGTATCAGTTATTACTAAATGCTGCATCTTTGTTTATAAATATTGTTAGTAGATATTTTAGTCATTGTGTGTTTTAAGTTTCATTTAACTCTATTAGCTAATCAAACCCTGCTCCCTTACCCCTTGTAATTATCCCCAATAAAACTTTAAATTGATTAATTTTAGTTGTGTGTGTGTCTGCAGTTTGCATCGTGACCCATACTCTCCTTGCATCCCTTACCAATATAGTCTATTGCCACGTGCAGCCTGATAAATAACAGGCCTGCATTTTCTTTCGCCCCTGCGTGCCCGTGGCAATCCACATACATCAGTAATACAAGTTTATGTTTTATTCTCCTAACTCCAGACATAGAAATCCATGCAAACAAATGGGATGAACACACTCAGTGGATCCTAAGCTTTGTAATGATACCTTACAAGAGACCTTTTGCATAAAGCATATTCCAGTTACATTATATTCATACTTATAAACATATTTTCATATTTTCATATGGAGTGCAACATCACACATGTTTCCTAGGATATACTGTAATCATTCAATCAGAGGGGAAACAGCAGTGCATCTTGGGAGTTGTAGTTTGGTGTCTTGTTCCACCATTCTCTATGGTATGGATTATATCTCCCATGATGCACGGTGGTCACTATGTTTCCCATGATATACTGCATCAGTTCAACCAGAGGCAGCACCATGGTGGATTTGGTCCAGCTTTGGAAATA